TGCTCACTAGATTTTTAAAAATTATTTTAAATAATAATTATATAAATTTTAATAATATAAAAATTAATGACTCAATACTGAATGCAATAGCAAATTCATAACAACATGTACAAACTGCATCCTGCAAACTTCTTCACTCTGACCCAAGAGACACCACTTCCTAAGACGGTGCGTAAGCCTTCGCAAGCCTTCATAAATTACAGCCCAGCTCCTAAAACCATGTTTGAGCATCTTATAATAGCATTTTCAAAACCATTTTGGCAGCATGCTCTTATTCTTCACAGAGAATGCTATAAGCTCCAAGAGATTAATATACACTATATATTCAGTCAATGCAATTTGCTTTGACTTTACCTCTGAGTTTGTGCTATTCTCATTGCAGGTCATGCATTTGATCTGACCTTCCTAACACGAGTGAGGATTTTAAATCTGCATATTGTACACAAACAAAAGGAGTATAGTATTAAAAATTAAAAAGCATTTTGGTAATTTTGAACAAAATAGTACACAGAAACATTACCTAAATAAGATTTATTTTAGGAAAATTTGTAAATCTCTACTAAGCAGAGTGGAACAGGGACAAGTAGGGAAGTGACAGCCCCAATCCGCCAAAGTGAAAAAAGGCCAGATTTTAAAGAAAAGCTATGATTTGCATATTACTAGAAATAGAATATTTGCCAGAAATGGCAGAGAGGAAAAAAGAAAAAAAAAAAAAAAAAAAGAGAAAAAAGAATGCCAACAAATCCAAACCCACTACTTTCAAGGGTAGCAGTATTTCAACGACCTTGAGAATGGTCTTGAATTTAGCTTTATAGAACAATTAAGATTTTCAATGTCTGAGAACACTTTGGTTTAAATAATGCTGCACTGCGCTTGTTTTTTGTAAAACTAAATTACTGTTACAGAGACCCTCAAATTCCCACTTAATCCGATAGTGAAAGCCAGCTCTGCCCAATATTCTTTCCTTCTTATCTCTCTCATAGCAATTTCATTTGTATCTCTCCTTTTTAGCAACTTAATTTCAAAATAGCTAAGCACATCTTTGCATGGATTTATGATTTTAGAGATGCAATAATGAGATGATGGCTTTCATCATGAATTTTTCCAAGATGGATTATTCCCCTATGGTTTAGATCTTAAACAAAGCATTTCTAGACTGCTGCCACAACAAATCCTGCTCCCACAGAATAACACATTTGTAAGCTGAAACGCACCCTTCCCCTTTAAATACTCTGTGTCCTCCTAATTAGCTCTCTTGAGACTACGGTCTGGGTGCCAACACCAAGAAAACTGAAGATCTCGAAGCACGTTACCTTGCCAGACGACGCACTGGGACATGCGCAGGCATAACAGGAAGTATTTAAAATCGTCTAGTCCAGACACAAACACCCGGAGTCGGATCCAGCAAGCTCTATCACAAGTCAGCCCTGTGCCGGAAGGCAGTCTCTACAGAATAGTACTTACTCAATGAGATTGTCACACCCCTCATTAAAGTTATTTAGCATAAAGCACTCATGATATACCAGGTATGTGCAAATTAGTGACACAGGCAAAATCATAGATTCTAAACAAGAGGAAACAAAACCAAAGGGAAAAAAAAAAAAAAAAAAAAAAACACTGAGTACAAACAAGCAATTGGCACACACAAAAAAAAGGTAACCTCCTGCTTCACATAACCTACAGGAAAATCATTAATACAGTGCAAAGTTCAGCAAGCACACATGCCACTACATGCTTGTAAGACTTAGTACAACATGCAAAACATTCAGAAGGTCTCTAATTAGTCTCCTCTCTTGTGCACTATTCCCTCATTTACAAATAAAATAGTTTGGACAGCATTACAAGAAAAGCTCCTTTCATGTAGTCCTTAAAGTTTGTGGATTTAACGGTCACTATCAATTCAAACTTTTATGCAAATCGCTATGCTCTGTTTCAAAATTTCTTAAAAAAAAAAAGGTTATTATTCCACTGAAACTCTTAAGTTAAGTGAAGCCTTACTGCACATCTTGCGTATCTTTCTTGAGATTACTGCCGCTAAAGTGTAAATCTTAGCTTTGCTTTTTTTAAAAAAAAAAAAATCAATCACTTGGATTAGCTAACTTTACTTTTTTGTTTTATTAAAAGTTCAACTGGTTAAATTCTCTCTCTGAATTGGTTAAACTTTCTCTATCAGAAAGTAACGGCCATACCCACCTGCTGACTGAAATGATGGTTTGGGTCAGACTTGAGACAAGACTATAATAATGTGAAAACACCACCGCTCTACTGAAGCAGGTGGAGGATTTCGTTTCCCCCCCCCCCTTTTTTTTTTTTTTTTTTTTTTTTTTTTTCCCTCTCCTTGCCCA